AAAGTCAAAGCAATTAACAATTTTCATGGAGTCATCTTGAAAGACAAAACATTTCTGATTAGCTTTAGATCTAGTGAAGTGAAGTGAATTATTATTTGCCATTGAGACACAGCACACCACAGCTTGGTGTCCAGTTTTAAACCAAGTCTGCTTCCTTAACCACTGAGAGACTGAAATTGCCCGTAAAAAAAAAAAAAAAAATTCACGCCCGAACAGGGACTTGAACCCTGGACCCTCAGATTAAAAGTCTGATGCTCTACCGACTGAGCTATCCGGGCTCTGTGCAGTGAAGCCTCCTGACAGAAACAAATGAGCCAGGAATCAATCACCAACTGGCACAGATGCTGCTGATGTTTGGTTTTATAAAGTGTGGAGCTAGGAAGTTACTAGTGCGACTGCCAGTAACTATTTTTGGATTAAATGACCTGGATGACGGAGAACCGACACAGACAACCTCTGTCATCATTTTGTCGTATCAACCCGTCATACCTGTTTGAGCAGGGAGTCATGGCGCTCATGGGAGGCCTGGTTCTCCACCTCCCTGTCTCCCAGGCTCAGTCTGAGTCTCTGCAGCTCCCCCTCCAGACTGCGACGTCCAAGCTCCACCCTGGTGGCCCGACCTTCGGTGGCGTCCAGTGCGTCCCGCAAACGCTTCCTCTCCGACTCCACCCGTGCTTCGGACGCACGCTGCTTATTCAGCTGATCCTGTACAATTTTGGGCAGACCGCGGGACAGTAAACACACGGAGGGATGACGACTGTTGTTGGAACTCAGTGTGTGTGTGTTTGTGGCATCTGTTGTTTTGGCTTTACCTGTTAGTTATTGCTTACCTCTGTAATCATTTTGTCGTATCAACCCGTCATACCTGTTTGAGCAGGGAGTCATGGCGCTCATGGGAGGCCTGGTTCTCCACCTCCCTGTCTCCCAGGCTCAGTCTGAGTCTCTGCAGCTCCCCCTCCAGACTGCGACGTCCAAGCTCCACCCTGGTGGCCCGACCTTCAGTGGCGTCCAGTGCGTCCCGCAAACGCTTCCTCTCCGACTCCACCCGTGCTTCGGACGCACGCTGCTTATTCAGCTGATCCTGTACAATTTTGGGCAGACCGCGGGACAGTAAACACACGGAGGGATGACGACTGTTGTTGGAACTCAGTGTGTGTGTGTTTGTGGCATCTGTTGTTTTGGCTTTACCTGTTAGTTATTGCTTGTTGCTGCCATAAGGGAATTAATCAGCACAGTGGTCACTGCTGAGTCAGCACTGTGTGTGTGTGTGTCAGTGTGTGTGTGTGTACCTGTATGTGTTTCCTGTCTCCTTCAGAAGCCTGCAGCAGTCGCTCCAACTCCTTCACTCTGTCGCTGAGAGCTCTCCTCTCTTTGTCTCCTCTCCTCACCATCTCCTCCTGCTGCTGCAGTAAAATCTGAGTCGTGGTCAGACGCTCCTCCAGACCCCGCTGTCCTGCAACCACACACGTAGAAAAACACCAGTGTGGTTTTGACTATCGCCCTTTACCTTCGTGGTTGTACTATGAGGTATTTAAATAGTATTTTTACATACTTCGTGCATAAGTTATTCTGGTTTCTTTACATTACCTTCTTGGTATTCTTGGACTGCGTTCTGTAGCTGAGTGAGACGACTCAGGGCGGAGTCTCTTTCTCGCCTCAGCTCTTCCACCTCACGCTGCAGGACCCCGAGTTGACATCGAGCATCACTCTACAAAATAAACCAAAAATACTTCACACCACATGTCGTGGTACATGCAGTACTTTTGTTGCGTGTGCAGCGCTGTTACCCGCTCCTTCTGTGCGTCCCGCAGCTCCTGGATGAAGTCTCTCAGTCCACTTCTCAGGGTCTCGTTGTCCAACTCAGGTTGAGGGAGGGGCAGAGGAGTGATGCCTCTCTCTGGAGAAGCTGTTCCTGAGCCTATAGTGTTGTCTGGGGTGCTAGTTTGAAACTCTGGAGAAAAATATATTTGTGAAATTTGAAGTAACTGAAGCACAGAAATTGTACTTAAAATAAAAATATGCATGTTTCGTTCTTACCTTTAGGAGGCGAGAGTGAGTTACGCATCGGTGAGATGCTGTGGTGACGCGACATGTTGCCTGGAGATGTGGAGCTCCCTGCGGGGCTTCTTCCTCGACCTCTTCTGTTGTTCGCTCCGATGCCGAGCGTACGGGTCAGAGCCGACTGAAGACCGCTCAGACGGAACTCCAGCTCCCTCCTGCCGGCCTCAGCTCGGGTCAGCTCAGCCTCGGTGGCGGTCAGACGGCCCTGAGCCTCGCTCAGCTGCAGGCTGTACTGAGCAGCGCTGTCCTGAGCTGTCTGAGCTCGCAGGGACAGGTTCTTAGCTTCATCCTGGAGCTTCTTCTCGCAGCCGCGGACCTCCTGCAGCTGAGACGTCAGCTCTCTCTCACAGGCGCGCCAGTACGACTCCGAGTCCAGGAGACGTTTTTGACTTAGGGAAAGCTAAAGGATGACAAAAAATATCAACGTTTATCTGCGGTCACACTACCCTCTGCCTGTATCTTCTGTTCTACCATGTGTTGTTGAACCCACCTCCTTCTTCAGGGAGGCTCTGGCAGCTTCAGCTTCAGTTAACTTCTGTTTGAGAGTGAACACATCCTTCCCCCTTTCTCCCTCTCTGTGCTCCTCCAGGGAGAGACGTGTCTGCAGCTCTGCCACCTCTCTGGACTTTTGCTCCTTCTCCCCGTCTATAACCTTCAGCTAATGTTGAGAATAATGAATGTTACTGTGTCTCTTCAACAAAGACGTAATAATATGATGAGATCTGAGAAGTGTTTCAGACCTGTCTCCGCAGCTCCTGGAGTTCTCTCCGAGCTTCGAGTCGTGATCTTTCCACATCTCTGAGGCAGCTCCGCAGCTCCGTCACCTCCTTCTGAGCAGATGAAAAACTCTCTTCAAGCACAGCCAGCCTCTGTTCCTTCTCTTCACACTGTCGTTTCACACTGAAAGATCCATCCAAAAAAACCAATTTATTTAGTTTTTAGAATTTGAGGCATAAAATCTAAATTAGCTAATGTCTAACAAATAATGAACGTTATATAAAATTACGTCTTTTGATGTAACCATTTAAATCATGATTAAAAAATGCTTGATAAAAAATGTCCAGTGACCACTATCTTTTCAGAGATGTAACAACTTAAATGATGATTAAAAAACGCTTGATAAAAAATGTCCAGTGACCACTTCCTGACCTGATCCTCTCTGTTTCTGCACTTCTCAGAGTTTCTCTCAGGTTAGCGTTTGATTGGCTGAGGGCATCTTTCTCCTTGCTGACATCACTGAGGTTGCGTCGTAGGTCTGTGCTTTCCCTCCTGTAGTTTTCAGCTGCGTCTTGAGTTTGACTGAGACACCGCTCCTTGTCCAACAAGTCCCGTCTCAGCTGGTCCCTGCTGTCCTTGCTCGCCGAGAGGGAAGTTCTGCACTGCTCTAACTGGAAGGAGAAACACAACCTACTGACTAGGACTAATATCTCTGAAAAAATGTTTCTGTCTCCTCAGTGCAGGATCCTCTACCTCTTTGAGGGCAACATCAGCACGTGACTGACAGTCCTTACAAGTCTCTCTGAGACTGTGAAGTTCACGCTCGTGATCGGTTGCTGCGTCCTCCAGCTTGGAGCGTAGCTCCAGCAGCTCAGTGTTCAGAGAACTCACTCTGATCTGAAAAAATGAAACAAATTTTTTTACATTTTTGTATGCCAGCTGGCAAACAAAATGTTTTAAATTTTTTTACATTTTTGTAAGCCAGCTGGCGTGACACAGGACGGCAGAGGATGAATTCAGACCAAAATCCTGTCACCTGCTCCTGCTCTTTGTAAAGTGCTGCTTCCCTGTAAACCCTCTCTGTCTCCAGGGCTGCGGCTGAGAGTTCGGCCTGCAGACTGGACACCTTCTCAGTCAAAAGCGTTTTCTCTCCTTCCTTCAGGAAAAGAGCCTGAGAAAAAAAGGTTTCTGTTAGAGGTGGAGAATGGAGGGGAATTTTAAAAAAAATCACTTTTTATTTTATTTATATTTCTCACTTTCTATTTTTTTTCCTCTAGTTGCAAGGGCGGCAATTTTATACTAATGCAAATAGCCAGTAGAGGGCAGTATTGTACCATGTATTTGAATTTTAAAGACAGCCAAAAGGAGATTGATAATTGTTGTACAGAAATTAAAGATAAAAAATAAAAAAATAAATATAAGCTTACATTATTTTTTTCTATTATTTTTGTGTTTGAAAACACAAAAAAAATATATTGGATGGATTGAAAACATTAAATTTATGCTAACACACCTTAGAAGGGGATGATGAAGCCATACAGTACATGCTGTGTATTTATAAACATTATTCTTCCTTCACAGAAGTTATAGTTTTCGTTAGATCACGATGAATTGTTTGACATCTGTCATGATGACGATGTGAACAGAACCAGATCGGACCTGTTGTTTTTCAGTCTCTGCCTGCAGCAGACTCTGATCTCTGTCGTGCTGGAAGCGACTCAGTTGGTCCTGCAGCTCCTCCCTCTCTCTCTGCTCCCTGTGGAGATAATCCTCCATCTCCTGCCTGAGTTTCCTCAGAGCGACCTCGTGCTCCGTCAGCAGGCTCTGTCGCATGACTTCCTGAAAGGCAGAGCAGGCAAGAGATCAGAAATACGCCTCGGGAACCGTTTCTTCTGCTGGAGTTGTTTCCTCTAAAAATTCAGGAAGTTTCTCTTTTGGTTTTCCAGTGGCTGGTTCTTTTTCTCACTACACAACTGTAATCTAGATTTCTTTTTGTGGTTTTAGTGCAAGGTTTTAATGTTAAAGAAACCATTACAAATGCATAAAAACGTTGCGTAACTGCACCTCGTTACTCACCTGCAGTGGTTTCACTGCGTACTCTGAGGCTCTGGTTTTCTATTTCCAGCTGCTCTCTGCGAGATTCCACCTGAGAAAGCTGCTGCTGCACCTCAAACAGACTGGTCTCCAAAGACTCCCGCTCAGACCTGCAGGGTTTTAGAAAACACACATACAGAGTTACACATGCACAAACACACAAACACACACAAAAGGTAAAAAAAAAACACAGAGTCACCTAAAAGCAGCCAGCTCCTCTGACAGAACGGTGTTTTCTCTCTCGGAGGCCGTCAGCTGCACCACCAGACCCGCTTTTTCCCGAGCCAGCTCCGCTCGACCGCGGCCCACCTCCTCCAGGGCCACCTCGTTCCTCTGTTCTGCTCCTCTGGCAAGACTTAACTCTGATCCCAGAGAGGTCACCTCGCCACAAAGCTGTCAAAGTCGTGGAGAAGTTAAAACATGTAGACGTGTGATGTCGTGATGACCTCGGTTGATGTCATGTGTCCTGTACCTGGGTGACTCTCTCCTGCAGTTTTAACCTGTCTGCCCTGAGACTGTGAACCTCCGCCTCCATGCCTGTTCGGCTCAGCTCCACATCCTGCAGTGACTGGTGCAGAGTGATGCGTACAGAGTCCAGCTCCAGACGGTTCTGCTCCAGCCGGACCAGCTCATCTTTGAGGGTGAACTTCTCCTGCTCCGTTTCCCGCTTCTGGGCCAGTAGAAGGGTCTTCTCCTCCTCCAGCTTCAAGACACAGAAGGGCAGACGTGTTTATAATGCTGGTGTTTTCATGAACAATTTAGTTACAATTCAAAAGAGGAATTCTTTGATTTTATTATTATTTTTTGTTAAAATAAGTTTGATTCAAAACTCTTAATCCTTTTCAGTGTTGTGGGAGGCTGGAGCTGATCCCAGCAGTCATCAGGTGAGATGAAGACCACCAACAGAGACAAACAACCTTAACCTATGGTCAATTTAAGACCATAATTGTCCAAATTTATCTAATTGTGCCTTTTTTTGGCCAACAGGAAGAAACTGAGCGAAAGAAAGTAAAGTTGTGGGAAGAAACTGAGCGAAAGAAAGTAAAGAAAAAAAAAACAGCCACCCAGGGAGAACATGGAAACTCCACAAGGAAAGATATAATTATCCAAGAACACTAACCAAAAAAACAAACAAACATTAACTTCTAAAAATGTCCAACCTGCAGTATGAAGGTGTAAACAAACAAACATTAACTTCTATAAATGTCCAACCTGCAGTATGAAGGTGTTGAGGTTGCTTTTGTCCAGGACTAGGCTCTCATTCATGTTGGCCAGTTTGTCCAGAGAGTCCCTGAGAGCAGCAGCTTCAGACTGCAGCTTGTTAACGAGCAGAGACAACTCTGCATTACTGGTCTCGGCCTGAGGAGGGCAGTGCAGGTCATAACATGATAAGAACATGCGGGAAGTCAGTACGTCGGTAAACACGTATTACTGTATGTACATTATGTTTTCCTACCTTTGAAAGAGCCTCAGTTAACTGGGCTTTCTCTCGCTCCAAGAGCTGCCTCTCAACCTCCCCCTGCTGGTGAGTTTCCTTCACTGCAGACAACTCTCCACGTTGAACTGAGGCTCGATTCTCGCTGTGATCCCACCGCTTCTGTCTGTGTCAGTACATGGTTGTCAGACATTAAGCTTTTAAGATTTTTTTCATATTAGATTTTTTATTTAGTCTAAAACCAGTAGAGCCAAATAAGTAAATATTAATTGAATTGATCGATGATCTCCGTACTACAATAACAACAACAATAATAATAATAATTTATGTGTAGGCCTTTGTCGATTGTTTTGAATCTTTTAAGATCCACTACAATATGAACACTCACATCCTCTGAGTCTCTGCCTTCGCCCGGTCTCTCTCCTGAATGGCCGCCTCCTTCTCCTCCTTCTCATCATCCCGTTCTCTCTGTATGGAGGCGACCTGCAGCTGTAGCCGCTCACAGTCCATCAGCAGGATACTGTTGCTGCTCTGAGCTACGTGAACCGTTTTCTCCAGGCTCGCTTTCTCACTGCAAGAGTCACAATGTGGGCGGTAGAAGTCAAGTCATGTGAAATTGACAAACTTCAGATCGTGAAGCAGTTGAAGACTCATCCATACGTGGCCAAGGTGTCTCTCTCTTGCTTCATACGCTCCCTGTCTTTCTGCAGGTTCTCCCTCTCCCTCTGAGCAGCGTCCCTCTCTCTGACCAGCGCCTGGTTCTGCTGCTCCGTGGACCTTCTCGCCGAATCTGCCTCTGAAAGCTGCTTCCTCGTTTGCTGTAATGACGACTGGACCGAGAGCAGACGACCTCGAACATCCTGCCAAAAAAACACAGCAATATAATAGAGTAAACAGCAGGTCTTACTTTTGACTTTTAAACATAAACACCAGCAGCAACAAAAGTCTTGGAGTAAAGTGACTTTCTGTATTGTTTAGTATCAGCTTTGATTTATTAACTCATTTATAACAAAAACCCTGGTGATGACCTCCTCATCTGGCCAACAATACCTAACAAGAACAGCCGTCCAAATCCACACGTGTGTGTGTGTGTGTGCATGTCACCTGTAGCTGAAGCGTCTTGTTTGTGACTGCGGAGCGTAGAGCAGAGAGAGCTGCTTCTGGCAGAAGAAGAGCCGTTGAAGAATAATGAGAGGGGGAGGACGACCTCAGAGGAGAGGAATAGCGGTGAGGAGGAGAGCTGTGCATGAGGGCAAGCAGCAGA